TGTGGTTCTGGATGATGTCTTTTAGTTGTAGTTTTGAAGTGGTTGTGTGAGGCAGCAATTTCCGGTGTTTACCTATGCCGCCATCTTGGATTCTCTCAATTGTCTGTTTTTTTAATTGTTGAAAAAAATGAGTGCACATAGTAAAGTTCAATAGTACAGAAAGCTTTATAGTGAGAAGTGAATCCTCCAGCCATGAGCTCTGCTCCCTTGGTCCCTTCTCTAGGTCAGCACTGCTACTGGTTTCTTGGAGATTTTTCCTCAAAGTTAACTCTGTATATATAAGAACAAACACATACTCTTGCTAATTAAAATAGTATCATACAGGACATACACTGTTCTGTATCTTACTTTTTTTCATGTGAGTACACACATAAATACTCATGTTAATTTTTTCATTATATTTTATATAAGTACAAAAAAGAGTAGAGAAATGTATCTGATCTTCCTATTCCCAAGTAAAAAGTAAAAATTTTGATCAAAATCAAGGCCAGATTTCTCACACATCAAGTTTCTAGATTTCTCTCATTCTCCTAATTTAGTAGCCATAGAAGCCGAGTTGGACATGGGAATAATGAGGAATCCCTGGTGATGGCAGAAGAATGAAGAAAGAACAGTAGCATTCATAATGTAAATAGTTTTTCACCACTCAACGCCCTGTGATTTATTTTCTACAACACCTCTGGGGCCAAACATAGAGCAGGCATATTATCTAATATATCTATCTATCTACAGATATAGATATAGATATAGATATAGATAGATAGATATAAAAGCCTAAGCGACCGAACGACCAGTCGACTGGTCACTATGATGCGCACCGACCACCAGGGGGCAGATGCTCAATGCAGGAGCTGCCCCCTGGTGATCAGTGCACTCCCACAGCCAACCTCCCGCGGTCCCTCCCCCAGCCAGCCAGCCTCAATCGGCCCTGATCAGGACTGGGCGAGATGGCCCCGATCACTCCCAATTGCCGGCCAGGCCAACGGACCCCACCCATGCACAAATTCGTGCACCAGGCCTCTAGTATTGAAGAAAATTGTTAACTTGAATTAATTTCATTATTTTCAGTTGTCTGGACTTGGAGCAATGTTCTCTTAAGGTCTTGGAGCCTGAAGGAAGCCCAAGCCTATGTTTACTGAAGCTATTGGGTGAAAAAGGTTGTACAGTCACAGAGCTGAGTGATTTCCTGCAGACTATGGAACACACTGAAGTTCTTCAGCTTCTCAGCCCCCCAGGTAGGTTTTTCCCTTGGGTATGTTCTCCAGGAATTTATTGAAACAAACGTGGAGAGAACTATCATACTTGACCAGAAGAATTGTGTTAAATATTTTGGGCCCTGGCCAGTGTTGCTCAGTTGGTTGGATGTTGTCCCATGCACCAAAAGGTTACTGGTTTAGACTCCCAGTCAGGGCACATGCACCGGTTTCAGCTCGATCGATCCCTGGTGGGAGGCACACGGGGGATAGCCGATCGATGTTTTACTCTAACATCGAGGTTTCTCTCTCCATCTCCCTTTCCCTTCCTCTCTCTCAAAATCAGTAAAAATACTTTTGGAAAAAGTAAATGTATGGAGCCTCATTTTTCCCCCAAGTTGACACATATAAAGGACATATATAAAGCAAATACGGTACATAAACATAGATTGGATTGTGGTTCAAAAAATCAGCTATTCAAGACATTTGGGACAAGTGGAATAATTTGAATATAACCTGCAATTAGATATTAGATAGTAGATATATCTAATGTGATAATGGTATTGTACTTCTATACAAGAATGTCTTTATTCCAAGGAGATGCATGCTAAAGTATTTAGGGGTAAGATTTCTGTTGAAACAGTATAGCCAAAAAAATAAATATACACATATTTCTTGATATATATGTGTGTATATTAATGAGATAAAGCAAGTATGACAAATATTCATTGTTTATGATTTTTGCCAACACGATGCTTTTGAAATGTTGATTGACTCAACCATGTGATTTTTTTTCCTGAGTATATCAATATTGAGTGAGGTTTCTCACTTCCAAAGTTAGACGTGAGGAATAGGAAACAGTGCCTGTCATCCACAACTACAGGTAGAAGTAGTCAACTACAGCAGTGTCGGGCAGAAGGGACCAAGTCGGCTCAGTCTTCTGATGGCAGCAGCACTGCACACCTTCTTTCTCAGTTTGCCATTTAAAGCAAAGAAGCCAATCAAGATTTGGAGGGCCGTGGACTAAGGACTCCGTGCTCTCTGTTTTACATGGTTTTGCTGTATGCAATTACACAACAAACTTGTTTTTGATAATATTTTTAAGTTAACAGGATGAATGTAAAGTTATAATTCAGGTCTTATTTTTTACTTTGTCAGTTTTGGGGTTGGAAAAGTAAGGGCACATGGTAGTTGTGTGCTATCAGTTACATTGACCAGAAACCTCAGCTCAGATTGACATAATAAAGGCAGTATGTTGGTTCTTCTGACTGAGAAGCCTTGAAGCAGATTGGGCTTCAAGAGAGGAGGCAGGGACAGCCCTGTTTTCAAGGAGTTGGTTCATTTTCATTTTTGCTCTTCTTTTCTTATCGTTGACTTCCCCCTAAGACTGACTTTCTGCATATGCACAAGATATCTACTAGCTGTTCTTGTATTCATCTTTGTCCCAGCAAAAATCCTAAGATTCTTATAGTTAATTAATTTTGGTCATGTGTCTGTCCCTACACCTGTCACTCTAGCCAGGGAAATGGAATGTGCTGAACTGCCTGGCTTAGAGCCAGGAGTCCAGTTGGGTTGAGTCAGCTTTCCACAAAGCACACCAAACAAAGTCTACACATGGATCACCAAACAAAAGTGGGCCTGTTGGAAGGAGAAAGGAAGTAACAGATGCTGGGGAGGTTACTAAAATACCTACTACAAATGGAAAGGATCCTGGATTATGAGTCAGGAAACTTGGACTTTCAGGTTATCTTCTGTTTTACAAGGCCAAATGCAGGTGATAAAATAGGCCTCCTATAAATGCCTCCTTTGTGTTATCACTGAATTGGATGCTTGACGTGTTTCTCATTGCCTCTTCATAACAAATATATAGAGTAAATTTTATCTGACCTCCAGTTTTTTCCTTTTCAGTGTCTTCTTGAATTTTGATGAAAAGGCACACTAGAAATATTTTGTTTTCTCTTTTTGTAGTAATGCACTTTCATAGGAGAACTTTCATAGTTCTTATTTCACAGACAGTCCAATGATTTTTCTCTGATTGTCTTTATAAAGAGGTCTGTTTTGAGTGAGTAAGTTGATTGTCAAAGATGCTGTGAGCCCATGAACAGGCCTTTCAAACCTAAATGCAGGAAGCAGAGGAAGTGTTAGCTTTCTTTCAGTCTTGCTTTGCCATATTCCATTCCAGTGGTTAGTGGATGACAGCCAGAGATAGCCAAAGGCAATGGCTGTAGTAGAGTTCTCTGTTTTTGAGAAGCTGACCAAGTTTCTTTTATGTATTTGAGTAGTCCAGAAGGAGCTGGGCAACGTCCCCCCATCTCTGACTGGAGCAATTCCCTTGATTAGGAGCTAACTTCAGTGGTCCCTCACTTAGCATGAGGTCTGAGTTGAGGGTAACTCACACCAAGGAGCTTGCAGTCCGTGGGCTCTGACACCTGATTTGTTTTCTGAAGGAATACCACAGAACTGAGGTTGTACCCTCTTCTGCTTTCTCTCAAACTGGGCTTTTCCACAGCTCCTGGGTGGCCAGCTTGTCCCTCAATCTGGTCTTGCCTCTACTTTATTAGAGAAATGGCTTAGTTTTTATGCTTGGGTGGTGTCCATCCCCATTTTCTAGCACTAATTGTTTCCCTACTTTTTGTTTCCTTGGTCATCTCAGAGGGAATTGAAAGGGGACGGGGGCTTTAAATAAATGTGTTGAAATTGTTTGAACCAAAGTCCATAATGTTTTTTATACCTTTTTAAATTTTCATTAAAAAATCAAAAACTCTGATCCCAAAGCAATCAATATTGGTCTCTGTATCCTTAGTAAATGTAGGTAAACTTAGATGTGATGTTTTTATTTGTTTCTTTTGTTTCCATTGAACCATTTTGACTGCATATTTATAGGCTGTATCAGTTAGAGTTATGTAGATCACGAAATGGTTGCCAAGGGAGGAATGCCCTGATCTGGAATTGGTTTAGCAGAGGCTGGACAATGGCGGGTATTTAGAGAGAATTAACATTTTACATGTGGGTTTTATTAGGTGAATCCTAAGGTTCTTCCTAACTCCAGTTTTATGATGTTGCCATTTTATTTCATCATATATAATAAAAGCCTAATATACAAATTGTCCCCTCAGGCAGTTGTTTGACCAGGAAACCAGGAGTTCGACCGCTCGCAATGATGTGCACTGACCACCAGGGGGCGGCACGGAACATGGCGGGCGTTGGCAATACGCTGCGATCTCTTGCCGGCTACCTGGGGGCAGGGGCGATGGGGTGGAGGTGCAGTGAGAATACGGGGTGGCCAAGCTCCCTCTCACTCCTCCTGCTATCCTCCCCCGGGATGCCAGGGCTTGCGTGCTGGGGAAACCCCCATGCTCAGGTGCAGGGCGCCTGCGAGGAGTCCACCCCGCACCCATGTGGCGGCCTCTTCCAGGTGAGCCAGGACCGCAGGGGCCAGTCGGGCTCCCTGGGGTTCGCATAGGAGCTGCTCTGTGAGGCCGGCCCGGAGAGAGCGCACTGCCTGCCCGGCTTCCGTGCAGTGCCACTGTGTGGCTCCGAGGCCCATGCTGTGCCCCATCCCGTGGCGTCTGGCCACACTCACTGCATCTCCGTGTGACTCAGGCGGAAGAGGGCGCATGGGGGCCCAGGTGCTGCCCAGGGCCCAGAGATCAGCTGGGACCTGCCCTTCCATGCCAGACGCTCGTGCTTCCTCGCTGGCCAGACCTAGGGACCGCACCCGTACATGAATTTCATGCACCGGGCCTCTAGTTCATCGTATAAAAGGTGCTTCACTCCCCATACATATTGGGTGGCATGTGAGACTTCTTTTCCATTTGCCCCACCCCTTTTTTATTTCATAGCACTTCACTTTTTTCTCTAGTCCTTTGTAGCACACTCATTGTTACGTTTCTAATATCAATTTTAATTTTTTTATTACTTTCTTGTCTCTAAAACAGGAGCAAATATTGTTCAATATTATTTTTTAGTATCCAAAATACCTCTACTTCACATTTTATCTTCACATTGTGAAGGAACAGAAGAGTACTGTTCTGAACATTTAAAATTTAAAGGTGAGCAAACATTTGTGTGGAACATGAAGTTTCCAGAAGTTATCATTTGGCTAGAATCACAGTTATTGATAAAGGTAGATTAGAACCCAGGCCTGCTGACCCTGATCTGAACTGTGTCATTCCCATGACGCTGGGAAATTTCTGAGTTGTTTGGGAAACTTAGTTATAGATTATTACCTCAGTTCCTCTTTGACCCATGGACTTCCATTTTTTTCTTCTTGCCAAATTAAAAAGTACTCAAATACTAGATCATATTTCTAAAGGACTTTTCTCGTTTCATGAGTGGCAGAAATTTTTGAAGTAAAAATACCAAGAAGTGAAAGGAGGCAAAGGTGGAATGGATGGAATAAGGGTAAGGAAGAAGCAAAGAGATAGAAAGGGAGCAGTGAATGAGGTCAGAAAGAGTGTGTCTCCACACCAGGGTGTTCAGGGTCACTGGGCAATGCAGGAGGATAAGGGATGCGATGAGCCTAGGGTTAGCCACAGTAGGTGCACATGTGAATTGACTTAGAAGAAGGACATACATGGACATACTTTGATTGTGTGATGGGGGCAGATTGTGAGAGGAAGGGGAATGGCATTTATTCTGCACACTGGGGCACTCTTCAATGATAGCTTAGAAATTTTCAGAATAACTTTGAGAAAGAGTTTTAGATGAAAACTGATGGAAAAATTTTTTGGTTCATGGCCTCTGAAAATAGATGGATGCACTGTAGTGGATACAATAGATCTGTTCCTGAGAAAGCTGTTTATAAATTACATCTATGTTTAAGTTCTTTGTGTGAGAGAATAACTTAAAGACACCAAAGATGAATCCATTATTCAACTCAAGAATTACCCTAATTTTTCTATGTTGGTGTATGTTGAAAGCACAATCCTCGTGTTCCATCATACCTAGTCAAATGCCCCCTGGCTTACAAGAAATCAAGTAACCTCTGACTTCTTTGCAGATGTTATCTGAAAATAGGTCTGTTTGCCAGGAAGCTATGTATTTGCCCCCCCCCTTTTTTTTGTTTTGTTTTGTTAATTCTCACCCGAGGATATTTTCTCCATGGCTTTTCAGAGAGAATGAAAGGAGGGGAGGAGGGAAAAAGAGAGAGAAACATTGATGTGAGAGAGACACATTGATTGGTTGCCTCCCAAGCATGCCCCGACCAGGGTCTGGGATAGAACCGGCAACCCAGGTATGTGCCTTTAACCAGGAATCGAACCCATGACCTTTTGGTTCGAGGGCCAACATTTTAACCACTGAGCAACACTGGCCAGGGCTTCATTAACCCTATAAAATAGGACTTTCGTATGCCTTGGTACACCCTCCACAGCACTGTGCCATCTTCTTTCCTTACCTTTGTTCAGCACCTCTAACTGTGGGCAGTGCGAGGGTGGTTACAGGTTGAACATGGTTCCCTGTCACACAACACTCTGTAGGAGGAAGGAAATATGTGTGGTTAAAACATGGGAGGTATTGTGACTTCTCTTCTTTACTAAGGCGGTTTCCAAATCACATTTTTCCTTTCAGTTCTCAGTCTTTGAAGCAATAGATAATAAATACATGTATTTGCTTGCTTGTTGAAGACTAGACAAGTAAAATTGTTGGTACAGGACAGACGTGTAAACTTTGAGTTTGAATGTACATTAAAAATCGTTTAGACTTGTCTCCCACACCAAGGAAGGATACCTTTATTTTTTTAAATATATTTTTATTGATTTCAGAGAGTAAGGGAGAGGGAAGATAGAAATATCAATGATGAGAGAAGATCATTGATTGGCTGCCTCCTGCATGTCTCCTACTGGGGGTCGAGCCTGCAACCCAGGCACGTGCCCTTGACTGGAATCAAACCTGGAACCCTTTAGGCCAAAAGCTGACGCTCTATCCACTGAGCCAAACCAGCTAGGGCAAGGAAGGATACCTTTAAAACATTCTGGCCCTATGAGCCCTTTCCACTAATGTCATTCATTCCTTGCTAAGTCACTCTAGGGCAGTGGTTCTCAACCTTCTGGCCCTTTAAATACAGTTCCTCATGTTGTGACCCAACCATAAAATTATTTTCGTTGCTACTTCATAACTGTAATGTTGCTACTGTTATGAATCGTAATGTAAATATCTGATATGCAGGATGGTCTTAGGCGACCCCTGTGAAAGGGTCGTTCGACCGCCAAAGGGGTCTCGACCTACAGGTTGAGAACCGCTGCTCTAGGGAGCAAGCCATTTAACTTCCATTGCGCTTGTCTCTTTTCTCTTTGTATAACAGCAGAGAATATTTGCCATGGTAAGTTGAGAAGCACTGTCATGATGGCAAGACATCGCACACTGCCTGACATGCTCCCTCCAGTCAGAGAAGCTCACTGTGGGGGAAACTGGGTTAGCATGGGAGGGTCATTAGCACTAGGAATTGAAGGTGGGGCCTTTGGGATGTGATTAGGTCATGAGGTGGAGCCCCCATGAGTGGGATTAGTGTCCTTATAAAAGGGATTTAAGAGAGGACCCTTTTCCTTCCCTCCATGTGAGATCACAGCATGAAGACAGTAGTCTGTGAACCAGGAAGTAGGTCTTCACCAGACACTGAGCCTGGAGGGACCTTGGTCGTGGAGTTCCCAGCCTTCAGAACTGGAGGAAATAAATGTGTGTTGTGTGTTGTTTAAGCCAAAAAAAGAATCACTGAACTATGTGAGGTGGCAGATGTGTTAATTAGCCTGATTTACTTGATTGTGGTAGTCATTTGACAATGTGTACGTATATTAAATCATGTTGTACACGTTAAATATATACAATTTTTACTTGTCAATTATGCCTCAATAAGCTTAGAGAAAAAGGAGTCACTGGCATAACAAAAGTATGAGGATTTTAAAGCCCAAGAAAACCCTTATTTGCATCCTGGTTCTGCTATTTTAACAGTGGAACAAAGAAATCATCTCAGGTTAAATAATTTAACCAAGTTAATTTACTGAAAATTACTTAACTTCATTTTCATTGTAACATAGATCTAATTAATATCTAACTCACATGGTTATTTTGAAGGTGAGATCAAAATGTCTGGCCCATATAAAGCAGTCAGGAAATTGCTGCTACAGTAATTGTTTTTATTATTGTATATTCATTCAACAAATACGTGTTGAACACTGTCATCATGCGCCGGGCGCTGTGGTATGCGTCGGGTAAACTGGTGACTAAGAAAAACAAGGTCATTGCTCCCGCAGAGCTTACAGTTTAGTAGATGAGACAGAAATTAAGAAACAGGGGTTTCAGGTGATTAGTGCAATGAAGACCACAAAGCAGAGTGGGGAGTGTGGTGAGCCAGGAGGAGGAGAATGGTAGGGACGAGGTCAAAGAGATCCGTTCATGAGGGCTTTAAGGTATGGTAAGGAGTTTGGATTTTTTTAAGTACAATGGGAGGGCAGTAGAGGATTTTAATTGGAGTCATGATTTGGATTAATTCATGTTTTCAAAATACATTGGTCTGCTGGTTGGAAGTGAGGAAACAACTTAGCAGGCTGTAACAGTAGTTTAGTCAAGAGCAGATGGTGGCTTGGGTTAAGATTATGACATTGAAGGTGATGAGACCTGGAAAAGCTTAACTACAGGACCTGAAGGTAAATTCCATGTGGAGAGTAACAAGGAAGGATGGATTCAGGGTTGCCTGCTAAATTTTTGTCCTGCATCGGGCACATGGGTGTAGGCTGGAAACCATTCTCCCGGTGATGGGGAAGAGCACAGGGTCTAAGGGGGGGGGGCGGGGTACACTGTTCAGGAAGGAGTTGGGACATGCTAGGTTTGAGATGGCTATAAGACATCCACATTTTAAAGCCAATTTAGTCACAATTCCTGTATTTTTCAGAATAATACTTGTTCCCTTTTATTGTTGCAACTTTATTTCCTCTTGTCTCACCTAAACTTTGAAATTCAGAGTCTCTGAATATTAAAGTTGTGCTGTAAGTCTCTCCTGGCATTAAAATACACTCTTGTGAATTCGCTGGCTTACATTTCTACCAAACGTGTATTACAGGATTCGGAGAAACTGTTATGTTATCCACCCTTGCTAACTTGGCTTCAATATAAAGAATTACTCTCCCCTGGCAAAAGTTTTAAATTCTTTTTTGAGAGGCTCTACTCTATTTATTAAAGATTTTCTAGGGTTTCTCCTGGCCCTTAAAAGTAATAAATATTTACTCATTTTGGATTTTGGTCTTATGTGGTATCTTTCTGGCATGATTTCACATACCTATTTTACCTTACCTGCGATTTTTTTCTGTAGAAAACTTGGTACTTTTGATGTATTAATATTGCTGATATTTAGACTAACTCCTCTTAAGTTGTAATCTTGTTTTGTTCCTTTGGATTAGTAGGTTGAGAAGAAAAATAAACTGTCAAGAGATCATATTAAAAATAGAGGAGGAAAGAAAATAAAAGTAGGTGCAGGAAATTAAGTTCATATGTTTTTTAATCCTCACCCGAGGATATTTTTTCCATTGATTTCTTTTTTTTAGAGTGGAAGGGAGGGAAGAGAGAGAGAGAGAGAGAGAGAGAGAGAGAGAGAGAGAGAGAGAAACTTCAACATGAGAGAGACCCATCGATTGGAGCCTCCCACTGGTGTCCCGGCCGGGGCCAGGGATTGAACCTGCAACTGTGGTACATGCCCTTGATGGAATTGAACCTGAGACCCTTCAGTCTGTGGGCCAACCCTCTAACCACTGAGAAAACCGGCCAGGGCAATTTAATATGTTTTGATGACCTTTTCTCCTTCTTTCCTAAAAGCCACCCAACCCAGTGTTATGTGTTATAACCTTGGCAAATGTAAAATTTCCTAACTTTGATTTCTTTTGTGTCAGTTATCTGTTGTTGCATAACAAATTACCCCAAAACAAGTAGCAGCCATCGTTTCTTCTCTCACCCAGTTTCTGAGTATAGAATCCAGAAGTGGCTTTGCCGGGTGGCTTGGGCTCACATTGGGCCTCTAATGTGATGGCAATCACGCTGTTGGTCAGGCCGAAGCCACCTGAGGGTTTGGCTGGGTTTGGAGAATCCCCTTCTCCGGTGGTTGGTTCACGTGGCTATTGGCAGGAGGCCACGTTTCTTTCCCCACTGGTTGGGCCTCTCTCGGGGCTGCCTGAGCATCCCTGTGCCATAGCAGCAGGCTTCCCCAGGGGGAATGATTGAGAGCTGGGACGGAGGGCGGGGAAGGGTCTCTTTTCATTATTGACTCCAGGATTTTCTTTAAACTCCTGTCAAAAGTTTTCCAAGTTAACATGCTGGTAGTCATTTCTCAAATGAGAAATGTTTCTATCACTTGTATCAAATTTACATCCTGCTCTTCTGGTTCTGTATCTTTCTGCTTACAGAATAATTGTCATTTTAATACTAAATCATAGCATTGAAATTCAGATGTCTTTTGTAGACAGTTTTAGTGGCATTTCAACTCAGCACTTGTCTTACTAACAGTGCACTCAATTGAAGTTCCGGCCATATGTGCATTTATGACCAAATATTCAAAGAGCCGGCACTGAAAACGATGTTGTGACTGCTGCCTGGCAGATGTCTATTGCAAGGTGCATCCTGATTCAGATGTGTTAGAATGTGGAAAAAATATTTCTAAGAATTGAAGAAATATGACAAACAGTTTTCTGCCCCAGTTGTGGGAAGTACAACAGATCAAAGTTTTCTGCGGGCAAGTTTCTTTCCTCCTGGTTTTACAAAGCCTGGAACTTCAAAAACCCAGAATCTGGTGGGGGGGGGGGGGGGTGTGAATGGGCAATTTGTTACAAGGATGAATATGCAGGTTATTTCCAAAATACTTCTCTTTTTTTTTTTGGTTTCAGAAATATAAACAAGGAAAACCTCTCTTTTGTGACTTTATTTACTTAACTTTTTTTTTTTTTTTTTTTTTTTTAAGGAATAAAGATCACTGTAAACCCAGAATCAAAGGCAGTCTTGGCTGGACAGTTTGTGAAATTGTGTTGCCGAGCAACTGGACATCCTTTTGTACAATATCAATGGTTCAAAATGAATAAAGAGGTAATTTCTTAGTATTTTTTAATTCCTCTATTATAAGAAGAAAGAATGATAGAAAATGAATTAGCATTGTTAGGCTCAATATGTTTTTAGAATTTTGATCTGACAGATATTACTGTGTTATTACTGAAGTATTCAAGAATCTTTATTTTGGTAATGCAATTCCAAAATTATCTTCCAAATAGATTGTAAGCAATAATAAAACCAATTCTCTACTCTAAAAATTGTGGAAAGTAGGGATTACTTGGAGCAAGAATGTGAACAAAGAGGAAACATCACCAGAGTATTCTAACATAGCTATAGAAATTCTTTAAAGACTTCCAAGCTGGCATGGAAGGCTAATGCAATATTAAGTATTCCACATAATTATATTGTCAAAAGATGGAGGCTGTTGTGAGATTCTGAAATAGAATCAGGAGTCTGGAAGGGGGCATGTTTTCCTCTTGGGGAAGCCTTGTATCCCTGCTCCACCGAACAAATAATTTAAAATCACATATTGAGCCCAGCCGTCATGGCTCAGTGGTTGAGCATTGACCAACCAGGGGGTCATAGTTCGATTCTTGGTCAGGCACAAGCCCAGATTTCGGGCTTGATCCCCAGTGTGGGGCGTGTGGGAGGCAGCCTAACAATGATTCTCTTTCATCATTGATGTTTCTATCTCTCTCTCCCTCTCCCTTCTTCTCTGAAATCAATAAAAATATGTTTTAATAAATAAATAAATAGCCCTAGCTGGTTTTTCTCAGTGGATAGAGCGTTGGCCTGTGGACTGAAAGGTTCTGGGTTTGATTTTGGCCAAGTGCACATGCCCAGGTAGCGGGCTCGATCCCCAGTAGGGGGTGTGCAAGAGGCAGCTGATCGATAATTCTCTCTCATTATTGATGTTTCTATCTCTCTGTCTCCCTCTCCCTTCCTCTCTGAAATCAATTTAAAAAATTTTTAAGTAAAAATAATAAATAAAATCACATATTGGAATTCTCTTTTCTTAAAAGTTCTTTGTGCCACTCTGCCACTGGGGAGTTCTCACTGGTCTGGCTGACCCATGTTGGTCTACATTTGCAAACCTGAAACTAAGTTAAAGATTCGTTCTAAGATTGTGATCTTTCCTTTAATGGGGTCACTCTGCCTTGGAAGCAATGTGTGGTTCTATACAGTTTTTTCCTTCCAGATCTCACACGCAGGTAAGGGAGAGCAGCTGTGAACCGTAGTAAAAAGACTGCATGTAGGCCCTGGTGCTAGACAGGCCCGTGTTGGACCCTGGCTATCATTACCAGCGATGTGAATGCTCATCATTGGGCTGTGAGAATTTAATAGACAGGATGTTCTATGTGCCTAGGCTTTCAAGAGATGGTAACTATTTTACCATATTGTCTCTGTTGCAAAGTTGCTTTTATTTTCCTAAATGACTTTTGCGGGAGAAATAATGGATAAAAGTACTATATTACATATATCGTTAGTAAGTTACGTCCTGATTTGAGAAAGTCAGAAGTGGAGGGCTGAGGAGTACGTCTTAGATTTGGAGAGTGGTAACAGACTTGAAAGCTGAATTTGTCAGACTGTTCTGACATTTGCAGTCTGTTTTAGGAGCTGTTGGTTTACAAGTACTTGATGAGCATGTGCCTGTGCCAGACCGTGCTCTGAGGCCTGATGGTGGAGCACTGACACCAGGGCCCTGCCACCCTCAGCAGGGAGAGGCAGACAGTACACAAGAAATAAATTCCTTAGCTAAGAACTGTGAGGACAGTAAACAGGGTGATAGAAAGTGAGAAGCCACTACAGGTGTTAAGCAGAAGGAATAACATGATAGGATTTATGTTTTTAAAGCACAGACTTACTGCTTGAAGGAAGCAAGAAGACCAGTCATCTAATCCATGTGCCAGATTGGAATAGAGGTAGTGTGGACCAGGGTGTGGCCTCAGGGGTGGATTCAAGTGCGTTAGTCAGTTTATTTTAGAGATAGAGTTAGCCAAGCCCCATAGATTGGCAAAAGAGCAGGAGGAAAGAAGAAGAGAGATCAAGGATGACCCCTGGATTTTTTAGTTAAACATCTGGGGACATGTTATGTACTGAGGTGTTGAAGATTAGGAGAGGATTGATTTAGGGAGAAAAATCAAGAATCAAGACCTGTTAAGTTTGAAATGCCTGTTTGACATCCAAATGAATCAGCTAGTCAGTTTGGATATCTGGGGAGATGACATTGAAGTGTCTGTAGTGGAGGAGGAACCAGTAAGGAGACTAAAGAATCTGCAAGAGAGAGAAGAAGAAAACCAGGAGAGGATGGTACAAAGCTAGGAAGTGCTGCTAAGAGGGGGTATAGGCCAAGGGAGAGGCCTATTTGGGTTTTTTGTTGTTTATTTAAGACACAAGAAACTAGAGTATGTTTTTGAGAGTGAAACAGTAAAAAAGAGAAATAGATGCTCAAACATAGAGAAAATTACAGGAGCAAGGTCAGAGAGGATGGGACTGTCAGTGAGAAAAATTCTTTTTCTCTACCCTCTTATGTTCAGTCCCTGGAGGCCTGTGAATTAACCGACAACATCCAGATGAAAAAGAGAAAACGTTTATTCGTATGGGAACGTACAAAAGAAGTAACTCCATGAATGGTTAGATTTAGAGGCTTATATACCTGACTTAGTAGGGAGAAGGGAGGAGGAAGAAAAGGCCTCTCTGGGAAGAACAAGTGGGTTTCTTAAGGAAATGCAAAGGGATTTACAGAAGAATAAATGGGAGACAAGAAAGTTTGTGACGTTGGTTATTCATGCAGGTGCAAGTGGTCTTTCCATTTTCTTCATGGCCATAAAACTCCTCTGGAGAGGGGATTTGTAGGTTCATTCTTGGGTCTCCTTCCTGTGAGTAAAAGCTGCCCTGAAGAGCAAATTTATGGTAGCCTCATTTCACAGAAGTTTCTGCTTTTAGTGAGAAAAGGGAAACTCTGAGAAGGCTGATTTATGCATTTGTTAAATCCCAAATGTCTTCGGCTTGAATTAATCTTTATACCAACTCTGGGGTTCTGAGTGGATCCCCACAGATCCTAAGCGCAAGTAGCCTTTATTATGAAGGGACCTTTTTCCATTTCTACAGGAGAGGAGAGAGAAGTTGTAAATAGGTGTGCAATTTGGTGGCAGGAAGAGGAAAGAGTTTCTGTCTGAAATCAAAGGCTGAGAGAAGTCGGGTTGCAGTAGGTTTGAGGAGAGAGAAAGTATACATGAATGGTCTGATAGGAAAGCAAACCTCTTAACCTGGCATTTACCGTGGTAGGATCATCAGGCAGTGCTTAGTGCACCCCAGTGGTCAGATCTTCAGCAAAATGCTCATGCGCTGGTGCAGGTCCTGAGAGGGAAGAGAGTTGAATTCAGTTGATTGAGGTTTGGAGAGAGAAGGCCGAGCTTGCTCAAGTACTTTGCAGGGGAGCCGATATAATAGAACCTGGCACTTGATTAAACTCCATGACAATGTGCAGAGTTGGGTGGTGCTGATAAATTGATGGGGGCAGCAAAGGTGAAATAAACCTTAATGTGGGGACCGAAGCTGGGAAACCCTTGGATGGCCATTTCTCCCCATCACTGATATGCTTCCCATAGCCCTGCTCCACCCCGACCTTGAAAGAATTGTACTGTATTAGAAGTGTGTCCTCTCACAGGGTTTCACAAATGAGGACATGGGTCTTGAGGGGAAGTAACTTGCTCATGTACTAACAACTAATTTGGCCAGAACTGAAATTAGTAGCCAGGCCTAACTCTCCGTGTGCTCTCTACTTCATCTTGGTGCTTGTCATGTCATATGGCTACTTTACTCGTAAATGTTGACATTGAGGGTTCTTTAAATACCAACAATTGCACAGTTTTAGACGGCAGAACAATACTTTTCTGTTAGTGAGTTTGGGGAAGATATATGGAAGAGAGCTCTTTAGTTAATGAATTTGTAGAAGACCGTAAGACTTCAGTCCTGAATTACTCGCAATGTTACTTGTTTTTTAAGTAACAAATAGTCTAGATCTTGGAAAAAAGATATGCTTTTCAAAACTATAAAGACATCCATTTTGTACAGCACATTTTATAAGGAGTGTTGCTGAGTCATTCACTGATGTTCTCTGTCATTATTTCACAGATTCCAAACGGAAATGCATCAGAACTTATTTTTAACACAGTGCATGTAAAAGATGCAGGCTTTTATGTCTGTCGAGTGAATAATAACTGCACCTTTGAATTCAGCCAGTGGTCACAACTGGATGTGTGTGATGTCACAGAACTAACAGAAAGCTTCCAGGGTAAGTAAGTTGAATGTTGAGAAGGAAATTACCTTATTTTCACTTATTTTAAATGTTTGCTTTTAAATAATTTCAAGTATCAAAATATCACAAAAAGCTCACATATGTACTGCACCCAGAATAAGGTCGGCAGTTGTTAAGATTTTATCCTGTGTACTTAGATTCTCTTCTCTACGGATGTATACACACACACACACACACACACACACACACACACACACACACACACACAAATACCTTCAGATGACAGAACTCTTCTCAGTCTGGCCCTGCTGATGACCTCTTCCAACTTGGATTTGAATGTCTCTGGTTTTAGAGGAGGAAAAAATCTAATACAGTCTTGCTCACTTTTTAAAAATATTTATTTTTATTGATTTCAGAGAGGAAGGGGGAGAGATAGAAACATCAATGATGATAGAGAATCATTGATCAGCTGCCTCCTGCATGCCGTACTGGGGATCAAGCCCACAACCGGGGCATGTACCCTGACCAGGAATCGAACCATGGCCTCCTAGTTCATAGGTCAACACTCAGCCACTGAGCAACACCGGCCAGGCACAGTTTTGCTCACTTTACAGTTTCTTTCTACACTGTACATTTTTCTCCCACGTAACTGTATTACTCCTAAAAAATCGTGTTGTGGAATAAAACTAGAGTGGATGTTGACATAAAAGGGCATATAGCATATCATTTGCTGCAATAAAACATTTCATTGAACTGTTTTTCTACTCTTTGTCATTCATCTTTTTAGTCCAGTAACTGGTATTGATCAAGGAAAAATCAAGTCTACTCTAAAGAGTAACCATCAGACACTGTTTTATTTATTCACACACATAGTCAAGACCATATCCTTTGTCATTTTTGCCCAAAAAAAGAATAGGAGGGAAACAGGCTTTTGTTACTAGTCTGACTCATTCTTCCCTCTCAATTTAGCCTTTCCTACACCTAAATAAATAAACCATCTCTAAAAATAGTCATGATTAATTAAGAGAGTTATTTATCTTTCTAGAATATTTCTGTGCATGTAATAAAATTTACTATGGTTATAAATACAATCTTATTCATTCAGCAAATATTATTAATCACCTGCAATTTGTGAGACTGAATTTCATGATGGAGACCTGGTATTGCATAACATTGACAAGCCCTCTGTCCCCAAGGAACTTAAAGAGTAACAATGAGTGTTCAGTAAATGATGTTTTCTGATATCTGCCTTGGGAGGAAATGCTAGTGATTATCCATCCATATTTATTCAGTGCTAATAACAGAACTCCTTTTTGCAATAATTTAAATCAGAGTGAAGAATGTAGATCTTTCTGTGAACGTGAATGTCACTCAAGATATTAATAAGTTGTTTGCCCCCTCCAGAGAGATTCTGTGGCCAAACACATTTGGAAGCCACTTGAGCTCTTTTCCCCTCTTACATGCACAATGCATACTAACGCTTTGAAAGCTCGACAAGTTCTGCAATTTAAAAAATCTGTTAACTCCGGATTTTCTGAATGTATTTACCCACCACATTCTTTTATCCAGACAGCATTTCTTAATATTTCTAAAAATGCTGTAGTTTTATGAAACATTGCTATTAAAGATTGTAAAAATGAAGGATGAACTTGAAAACTCATTTACTTTTATAAATTATAGGGGAAAATTTTATTTTTAACTTAGAGATTTTATGTTTATGATGCTTTTCTTTTAATTTAAGGAAGTTTGAATGGCATCTCTGAATCCAAGTTGCAAATCTGTGTTGAACCAAGGTCCCAAAAGCTGATGCCAGGCAGCACATTGGTCCTGCAGTGCGTTGCTGTTGGAAGCCCTATTCCTCACTACCAGTGGTTCAAAAATGAATCACCCTTAGTGCATGAGACAAAGAAGATATTCATGGTATGAAATTGGTTTTCGGGGCATTTTTTGTTCTAATAAGTAAAATAAACAGTGTAATAAAAAATTAAGGTGAACATTAAAATTCATCTTTGTAGAGGGTGTTTTTATGTTTTCAGTATTTTTGTTTCAAGTCCTTGTTATTTAATATTAATTGACTTGTATATTTGCAAAATTTCCAGAAAATAACACCAGCCCACATCTAAGGGCTTATACTAAAATGTCAAATGTAGTATTACACCAAACTCATCATAATTGGATTTATTGTGTCATTTGCTAAAATTTATTCTTAATCTAATGAATGGCAATAATTCAGCTGTCTAAAGCATTCTGAAATTTTATTGTAATAATTTTTTAAAATACAAAATAACTTTTTCTCCAAGCCAATTTAAATTAAAATTGAGGAGGAAATGTGTGTGTTCTGATATTGATATAGGTGCCTTATGTGGAGTTGGAACATCAAGGAACCTATTGGTGTCGTGTACATAATGATCGAGACAGTCAAGATAGCAAGAAGGTAGAAATCATCATAGGTAAGCAGTGTTACTCAGTGTTCTGACAAATGGAGTATAATAGAAACTATATAAAATAAAACACTTCAGCAGTGGAAATTCTACTAATTACCCCCTTCTACTTAATGGTGTGATAAGTATCAGGAGTTAACATTGTACATATAGATATTTGAGAGAACACATACTAAATTCATAATCTAGCTTTATATACTACTAGAGGCCCGATGCATGAAATTCGTGCAAAGGGCTTGGCCCTCACAGCCCGGCTGCCTCGGCCAGCCCTCACCGCCCCGGCTGGCCCTCACAGCCCCTCGCAGCCTCAGCTGGCCCTCGCAGCCCTGCGCAGCCTTGGCCAGCCCTCACAGGCCTGGCTTCGTCTGGGAGGTTGTCCGGATGGTCATTCTACTGTTCGGTCTAATTAGCATATTAGCTCTTTATTATATAGGATGACCAGATAGTACTAGAAAAATAGTTTTTTATTTAGACTTTTTGGTTATTTTTGAATTTTACAGTTTATTTTAAACATTTATGGCAAAAAAATGTATTAAAACTTTAATTATAAAGAACTTGATTTCATGGAAAAAGATTTTTAAGAAAACATTTTTAAAAAACAAACATCACAGACATGTGAAGGAGAGAATGATCAATCAACAATCCCATTACGAAGTACATAATTTGGGAATTTGTTTTATTTGAGCTTAATGCATTTATAGTTATGTTGTTAATAGTAAGAGGTGTTGATGCATATGTTGGTTTGCCAACATATTTCTGTGATACTTATCTCTCTGTTTGCTTGATGGCTGCCCTTCCTAAGATCATGAATTACAATATATTCACATTTGTTTTCTCTGGAACAAGGAAGAACAGATGAGGCAGTGGAGTGCACTGAAGGTAGTGTAATCTTTGGTTTGAAACCAGATATCCTGCATGCTGGCTCCTCTTGGGACTGGTGGCGTGCTCTAGCCTACTGAGTGCAGTGATGGAAAAAATACTAGCTATAAGAAATCATTTCACTCGAAGGATATTGTATCTTAGTCTTTGAGGGTTTGTAAAGTGCCACAGACACTGCTAAACTGACACATTATTAAAATAACTACTATTCAGTTGATTTTCTACTCTACTAGTATATAAAAATAAACTTCCTGCATAACATCTTATGAATAGCAAACATTTGCAATTAATTCTTAATGCTAATTTTTATCTTTATAAAAATTGTGAAAAAATATAGATTGCTATATTGTCATGGAGACTTGTTCAGATTTCTTATCTATTCTTCAGCCATGATAATATGCCTCTTTTTGAATGTGGTTTTTCTAAAAGTTTCAGGACAGATTATTATTGTTTAACACATGTTTTATCAAATATTAAATACTCAGTTTGTTTCAATATAAAATTGATATGACCCATTTTTGAAGCTACAAGGCCATCTACCATGTCACCTTTACCATAATATATAAAGAGAATTGAAAATCTCTTTCAACATAAGTTTCTAATTTGTTCTAATTAACCAAAGCATTGTACATAAGTTGTAATAAGTAAATTTTAAAACTTAAGTTCCCTCAGTATGATATCACATTGTTTTACAAAATTAGGTTTGTGGATAGCAAAGTATTTTTTCAATTTCTGCCTCTTTAAACTATAACCTTAGGCTCTACTTGGGAAAAGAAAATCATGTTAAATCTTATGTTTCCTGGTTTTCTTGTTCTTTGTATCACTATGGTGTCACTCTGAAATACTATAAGTACTATTTTCATCCTAATACATAATTGTGAACGTGATTTCTCTAGCATAAGACGATTTCAATCCTGTCGTATTTGGACCCTTTTTGAGGGAAGCTACATGAAGAAATACTAACCAACTCCTCTTTCTTTTCTTTCCCCTTTTTTGCCTAATTGCATTATTTTGAAAACTTCCTAACATTGGAGACTTCTAAGAGTAAATAAATAAATAAAACCAGCATTGCTGTTTTGATTGGCTTCAGGGTGATGCTTGTAAATTATCACCTGTTGTGATGCTTCTTTATCTGCAAGATTCTCCCTATAATTTTTGTAGTAACAAACACACTGTTAAATAATAATTTTCAAATAAATCTGTTCAGAACACTTGGAGATGAAAATCCAACCATGAAACTACTCCAGAAATTTCAGATGGAAAAATTAGACCCAACTTTTTTTTCTAAAAGATATACAAAATTGAGACCTTTTATAATTGGTGGGTTGACTCATGTCATGAAAAGTGTCCTAATATCATACCTTTTTTACCCATGGAACATGATGTTACTGACCTAAGTAATCAGAAATGAGAGAAGTCAGTAAGATAAAAGGGAAAAGAAATTGTACATAGCCATATACTCTAGCTCATGCTACTCATTAATTGATTTTATATCACATATAAGAATAAGTTCTACCTACCATCTTATGAATAGTATAACAAAGATGACTATAATGTCATGATATTGGCTTAGATGATGTCCTTTAGCCAGGGGGTGCAGGTTAACAATTCTGAAACCACTGTGCCTCCAAAAGCACATTACACCAATCTAACCATGAGAAGAACCTCAACACATCCCACCTGAGAGACATTCCACATAATACCTCACCAGTAATTCTCAAAAATGTCAAGGTCATCAAAAGCAAGGGAAGTCTGAGAAACTGTCACAAGAAAGAGGAGCCTATGGCGACTTAAGCAAATGTAATGTGGTGCCCTAATGGGTCTTGGAACAAAAAAGAACATTAACGGTTATGACAAATATACCTTCCTAACATAAGATGTTAAAAATAGGGAACTGGTGTATGGGTGTTTACCTGAATTCTATATTCTCTTCACATTAGTTCTATAAATCTTAAGCTGATCTAAAATTAAAAGTTTATTTAAAAAGAAAAGATCATTTGAGATTAACTAGTTTCAAGAAGTTTATGATTGAGACTACAAACAGACCTATCTCTTGATTGCTTTTGTTCCATAATTGGACAGAATACCTAAAACTTTGAACAAATTGTGAATGAATCTGTTTAGCCTTTTGTCACTTAATGAAAGTAATAATGGCTTAGAAGTCCTAAATGATATCCACAACATTATACTTTCCTATTCAGTTTTGCATGGCTTCTGGTAATATATTTGAAAAGTTTTAAACTATTGAAACATTTTAACATGATTTAATAACTCAAAACCTTCTTTGATTAGCCTTACTATTTGTGCTAAATTGGCATTTAAGCTATTTAAAGCTAATCTATTTTTTAATTGAATTTCAGATGAATTACATCATCTTGGGCATCCTGGTGAGTAATATAAGCATAAAACATTAGTTTTATATTTTTAAGTTATTGAATATAATAATTTAAAGATACTATAGATATTTTTGCTATAGTAGTACTGGTAACATTTTTCTTTATTAAAATAATATGATTTAGGGTTGAAATTAGTACTTGCATGAAATACAATTTCATGCAAGTGAAAAGATTTAAAATATTCTAGATTGTAAGACTATATAAGGATAGAAAAGTATACTGAGGCCATACAAAATATGAATGCATTTTTTATCATTGTGAACTAGTCTATATCATAAAAAGACAGTTAATGGGGGAAGTGAGTAATTTTTCATTTGAAAGACAAGCAGCAGTCTTTAAAAGAGTAACAGGGTAACAATTCTGAACTTGCCAGACCCCTGGGACATTGTTCAAAGTTGCTCATTCATAGAACATACCAGAACTAGTTGGGTGAGATGTCTTTATTTGAAGTAAGAGGTGTGTTAGTGGGAATAATAGCCTATCTAATAAAAGAGTAATATGCAAATTAACCATCACTCCTCAGTCCGTCACAAAGATGGCTGCGGCCACAGAACTAGAGCAAGCAGGAGGCTTGCGTTGCCCCCGGCAATGGAGGAAGCCAAGCTTCCCGCTTCTCCTGGCCGGCCCTGAGCTCTGCTCAAGGCTACGAAGTTTCAATTATAGAAGATAAATAAATCCCAGATACCTGCTTCCAGCCTGTGTGGCTTCAGCTAAGGGAGGGGCTGGGAGCCTCGGTTGCCAGGGGCAACCCGACCTGGGCTCGGCTTAAGGCTACAACGTTTCAATTATAGAAGTTAAATAAATCCCAGATACCTGCTTTCAGCCCGCGGCCGTGGCCAGCCTGAAAACGGCCATCAGGCAGGCCCTCACTCAGGCTGGCCAGGCACCCCAGTAGGGCCCCCCCACCCTGAAGGGGCTGTGGCCAGCCTGCAAACGGCCATCAGCCCCTCACCCAGGCTGGCCAGGCACCCCAGTAGGGCCCCCCCACCCTGAAGGGGCTGTGGCCAGCCTGCAAACGGCCATCAGCCCCTCACCCAGGCTGGCCAGGCACCCCAGTAGGGCCCCCCCACCCTGAAGGGGCTGTGGCCAGCCTGCAAACGGCCATCAGCCCCTCACCCAGGCTGGCCAGGCACCCCAGTAGGGCCCCCCCACCCTGAAGGGGCTGTGGCCAGCCTGCAAACGGCCATCAGCCCCTCACCCAGGCTGGCCAGGCACCCCAGTAGGGCCCCCCCACCCTGAAGGGGCTGTGGCCAGCCTGCAAACGGCCATCAGCCCCTCACCCAGGCTGGCCAGGCACCCCAGTAGGGCCCCCCCACCCTGAAGGGGCTGTGGCCAGCCTGCAAACGGCCATCAGCCCCTCACCCAGGCTGGCCAGGCACCCCAGTAGGGCCCCCCCACCCTGAAGGGGCTGTGGCCAGCCTGCAAACGGCCATCAGCCCCTCACCCAGGCTGGCCAGGCACCCCAGTAGGGCCCCCCCACCCTGAAGGGGCTGTGGCCAGCCTGCAAACGGCCATCAGCCCCTCACCCAGGCTGGCCAGGCACCCCAGTAGGGCCCCCCCACCCTGAAGGGGCTGTGGCCAGCCTGCAAACGGCCATCAGCCCCTCACCCAGGCTGGCCAGGCACCCCAGTAGGGCCCCCCCACCCTGAAGGGGCTGTGGCCAGCCTGCAAACGGCCATCAGCCCCTCACCCAGGCTGGCCAGGCACCCCAGTAGGGCCCCCCCACCCTGAAGGGGCTGTGGCCAGCCTGCAAACGGCCATCAGCCCCTCACCCAGGCTGGCCAGGCACCCCAGTAGGGCCCCCCCACCCTGAAGGGGCTGTGACCAGCCTGCAAACAGCCATCAGCCCCTCACCCAGGCTGGCCAGGCACCCCAGTGGGACCCCCACCCTGATTCGGGACACCCTTCAGGGCAAACCAGCCAGCCCCCACCCGTGCCCAGGCCTGTATCCTATATAATAAAAGGGTAATATGCAAATTGACCCTAACAGCAGAACAACTGGGAATGACTGGTCACTGTGACACACACTGACCACCAGGGGGCAGACGCTCAATGCAGGAGCTGCCTCTGGTGGTCAGTGCACTCCCACATGGGGGAGCTCTGCTCAGCCACAAGCCAGGCTGACGGCTGCCAGTACAGCGGTGGTGGCGGGAGACTCTCCCGCCTCCTCAGCAGCGCTAAGGATGTCCGACTGCAGCTTATGCTTGCTCCCCGCTGGCAAGTGGACATCCCCCAAGGGCTCCCGGGCTGCCAGAGGGATGTCTGACTGCAAGCTTAGGCCCAATCTCCCGAGGATCGGGCCTAAGCCAGCAGGTGGACATCCCCCAAGGGGTCCCAAACTGCGAGAGGGCACAGACTGGGCTGAGGAACCCCCCCCCCAAGTGCACAAATTTTTGTGCACTGGGCCTCTAGTGCATTATATAAATAAGTAGTTGGTCAGTAACCATTAAGAAATTGACTGTTGGCAGGAATATTCATCCTTCTTCAGCCAATTATTTTTTTATTGATTTCAAAGAGAAAGGGAGAGAGGGAGAGAGAGATAGAAACATCAATGATGAGAGAGAATCATTGATTGGCTGCCTCCTGCACCCCCCCCCTGAGGATCGAGCCCACAAAGATAGAAACATCAATGATGAGAGAGAATCATTGATTGGCTGCCTCCTGCACCCCCACCCTGAGGATCGAGCCCACAACCCAGGCATGTGCCCTGACTAGGAATTGAAACGTGATCTTCTAGTTCATAGGTTGACACTCAACCACTGAGCCATGCCGACTGGGCTCTTTGCCAATTTTAATCAGAACAGATTTCTAAACAAGTTCAGCCAAAGAGAAAGCATTAAGTGAGATGACAGGCAGAGTAAGAGTGAGGACTCTGGCCCTAATCGGTTTGGCTCAGTGGGTAGAGCGTCGGCCTGAGGACTCAAGGGTCCCAGGTTCGATTCCGGTCAAGGGCATGTACCTTGGTTGCAGGCACATACCCAGTAGGGAGTGTGCAGGAGGCAGCTGAATTGATGTTTCTCTCTCATCAATGTTTCTAACTCTCCCTCTCCCTTCCTCTCTGTAAAAAAATCAATAAAATATATATATTTTTTAAAATCCTCAACAAAAATGATAGCAAACTGAACCCAACAACTTATACGAAAAAAAAAAAAATCTGGGAATCTTAAAATCATAAGTTAGCTATTAGAAACCATATTCTGTCTTTTAATGCCACTGACGGTATTCACTGTTTTTATGTATCTCTAACCCTGGAAAAAAAATATATCATTATGGAAAATAACACCTTATTTCTTTGCATTTTTATTTTCTTATAGATAATAAAGAGCAAACAGCTGACCAGCCTTTGGGTGAGTAAAGCTTTAAAATACCTGCTCAAAATATAATTATACATATATCTCTTTTATGATGAGCATAAAGGAATTTAAGCTATTTCAATTTGACAACTTTTATAAATACTTGAATGATATTGAGACCAAATGGTTTATTTTGGATATTTGTAAAATAAATTATAGAACAGGAGACTTAAAATTATTTTGAATTCAATTTCTGGGACCAAGTCAATTTCTGTAGAATGATTTCTTTGTTTTGGCAACATGCAAACAGACATGTATGTTACATAGAGGTGAGTAATACTATCTTTCGGTGGGGTTAGATTAGAAAAGCAGCAGAGAGGTTGCAGTAGCTGTTCTGTATTTTGAAGTATAAGTAGGAGAAGGGCCTTCCAAACAGAGGGACCCTGAAATCCTAAGTGCTAAGAAATGAGACTGTTGAATTTGGGGAACTGCAAGTAACACACCTTGCTCTGGAGCATAAAGAGAAGGAAGCGAGAGAAGAAGGGTGAGACTAGATCTTCAGGAGCCGCGTTTCTCATTTATGCCATTGGAAGGAACTTTTTAGTGGAGGAGTGAATGAGATGTATCTCTCCCAAAGCCAGTCTTGTATTGGTGTAGAAAGTAAAGTAGTTAGAGATGTTTTGCTTAGGAGAACAATTAAGACACTGTTGTAATAGTCTGAAGAAGAAATGAGAATCTAAACTAGGCTTATCAATGAGAATGCAGAAGACAAGAACAAATTCAGGAGATCTTTAGGAATCAGTAAGCTTTTTTGTCATCTTGCTATAGGGTATAAAATACAGAGGAGAATCACCATGCCTGCTAGGATCCTTGCTTGGACCTGTAGGTGGGTAGTGACACGGTCCATTGAGTTGGAGAATATAGATTCAAAAGCAAGCTTCAGAGGACAGATGACTATCAGTTGGGACCTAACCAGTTTGAGGTATTTGTGTCACATCTAGGTGACAGTATACAGCAGGCAATTGTATACATGGATCTGGAACTCTATGGAGAGGCCAGGATTGGAGATATAGATATAAGTGTCATTAGCATAGATATGGAAGTTAAAACCAAGGGGCAGAAAACATGAGGTTGCTGCAGGCCACAGAGAAAAGAGCACAAAACAGGCTGACCTTTTGGGAGGGGCATGCCGTGTTTTTTAACAATCATAATCAGTTGCCACTGATCAGATATCATAAAAATTCAGATTTCTAGGTTCTTATGAAAAGTGGTAGCTGTCAGTTGTGTCTAAATAGTGGCTGCCCTTTTCAAGAGGCATGCGCTCCCCTGTTTTACTGTTGTGAGCTTTTGGTCTACTTCACTCTCTCCTTCTCCTCCTTCCCCATGCTGCGTTACCATGTAGCTGATTTCTTTGCATGGATCCCCAAACTGAAAGCTGCCAGACTTCTTCAGGTTGAGACTCAGAACTAGCGGAGTGTCACACCACATTATGTAGTTCAAAGTGAATCACAGGGTAGCCCAGATTTGGGGTTAGAGGCTGGTGACTGGAGTGGGAGTGACTACACTATGTGAGAGCAAGGACACTGTGTCTCATTGGGGGCCGTCTTTTACTGAAGTTGGAAAGGCAGGCATGAGCTAGAATATGAATGGCTTTGTTTGCCAGATAAGGATTTTTTGCTATATTTTGTAGGACACAGAGAATAAAAGATTTTACTCATAAGACCAACAAGGACTGTATATTCAACCAGTCAGATTTGATCTTAATACTCAATTTTTGACAGATGATCAAAGATTTTCTTTAACAAATATTTACATAGCACTAAATATGTGCCAGACCCTTTTCCAGGTACTTATGAATATTAATCCATTTTAGATAAAATGAGTAACACACCAGTAGATTATTAGACATAGAATTAATGATATAACACTGTACCAATTTTTAAAGAACACATTGCATTGAGCTTTGGAAAATGTCTAGGATCATGTAGTTAAATACATTTCTGAAGTGGTTTTATTCTGTTGCTTAATCAACTTGGATTTGTGTTTCCTTTTTCCAGTAAGTGGTTTGTGTTCAAGAAATTGTGGGTGGCTCTTACAGTAAATGTTTTTCTATAGAAAGTTTCTTCCATTTATATTATCACCTGAAAAACATCATAAATTGCTTATATGGTTGTTATTTTGAAGTTTTCTTTCATTCCTCACTCTTATCTTCTCAACTTCTAATTTTACTGTTTCGTCCTTTATCATATTTCTAAACTCTGACTTTTCCTTTCCTTCCTACAACTAATTTACTGAAATGTGTTTGTCATCTCTCATTTCGACCACTGCCGTCTGCTTCTCTATTCTAAATCTTCTCCAGTCCGCCTGTCATTCAGGAACTGTTTTACAAGTAGATTGGACAAGGTAAGATTTATTTACTCATCATTTTTATTACCATTTATTTCAAGAAAAATGCTCAAAGACATTTTAGAAGCTAACTATTAAAAATTATCACGAGGGAACATATTTTGAAGTGTTATGGTCAATTATGAATACATGCATTTCAAAGTACATAGTTCTTAGATTATTAAACTTTTCCACTTAGTGCTATACCAAGTGTTCTTGCAATCAGATAGCAAAACCAATGAAACAAGTATTGATATTAGCAGAAACAGCCTATCATTCATAGTTTGACAACTGTTTTTTCCCCCAAAGACTCCAGTGGTTTTTTTTCCTTTTACATACCTTCTAGTTGTTTTCTGCCAATAAAACCTATTTTAGGATAGATTTTAAAATTAAATTATCATAATATTCCACCAAAAAACCCACTATGATTTACAAACACTTTATACCTGAATATCTTTCGGAACCTCATGATTTGGGCCATGATGGTGTAAGCCAGAGACAACACATCTCTTCTTTCTTAGAAGTAGATTGTACTGAGCCCTTCTCTGCATTGAGCTTGGGTGTGTGTTCTAACAGGGCTGTTTGGACTCATCAGCAAATGCACTGAAAATGTTCTTTCTATGGATTAGCCAGCTAATAGTCTTACCATATAGTGATTACCTTGGTCTGGTTTATTTAAGAAGAAACTTTTTAAAAAGGAAATACAATGATGTTAAGTTTTATACAAATAATCAGCAATGTGATTATTTGTGCTTATTCATAAGAGTAGTATTCATAGCCATTTCTAAATAAACTACTTAGCAGCACTTTGTGACAGAGGTTGGTCACCTAGTCCTGGCCTGTGTCAGAGGAGGTGGCCTGCAGTCCTGCCCAGTGTGGCTCTTCAGCCAGTTGGCAGGTGCTGCCCAATGCTCTTGTGACTCCATCTCCCCTGCTCCCTCTGTCTCCTTCACAGATTCACACTGTAACATCCGCAGCAAAAACATTGTAACAGGTTCCTACAGTCGTAGCATGGTCTCAAGTATTTAATTTTTAATCTGACCCAAACTAACAAAGGTACAATTTTGAAGACCTCTTAAGCACTAAGCTATGTCCAGCCTTCCACAGCTGTTTTTGGATAAGCTATACACCTGATTAAGCTAGCTGATAGTTTTTTAAGGCATTGGTGGAGATCTTTTTGTCCCTTAAAAACAGAAAAATTCTTTGTATAAGAATACAACTTTGAACAAAGTCTCAGTGCACTAAGGTCAGAAAATAAACTGTTAAGGCATTTATACAGTTCGGCCGGTGTGGCTCAAGGGTTGAGAGTAGACCCATGAATCAGGAGATCACAGTTCCATTCCCTGTCAGGACACATACCTGGGTTGCAGGCTCAATCCCTGGTAGGGGGTGTGCCAGGGGCAGTCAATCCATGATTCTCTCTCATCATCGATGTTTCTCTCTCTCTCTTGCCCTCTCCCTTCCTCTCTCTGAAATAAAAAAATATATATTTAAAAACAAAACACATATTCTTACAAAAGTCTTCGCATATCCCTAAAGTAACTGCATCTCACCCAAATGGGAAAAAAAAAATTTTAAGGCCAAGAGAAGACAATATGTCACCTAAAAAAATACAGATGCAGTACTTGTTAAGCTGCTGCTTTTCTGTCCTCTTTGGTATTTCTCCTTACTTGCTCTGTTTCAAATTCTTCCTGTTCCTCTTTTTCTTTAGTTTAGCATCTTCCATTGTCAGCAAAACAGAACCTAATTTGATGAGAACCCAATTTCAAACATACCTTGTTAAAATTTGCTCTAAAAGCCTAGTTGAATTATAATAATATTCTTGTTGTACTTCAATAAAAGTATACTTTTATATTAGTTATCAGTATATTTCATATGCAGCTAATAAATATCTTTTGCCTGGTTCTCAAAAGTCTCAATAAGTTTAATTTCAGTTGTTTGATTTATTAGCTTTTGTCGTCCTCCGTATGTTGGTCTGCTGCATAAAGTGATCATCCTAAGATGAAATTAAATAATAAGGAACTCCTATTTGTAAAGCGTACTTTTTATTATAATGATACCACTTCCATGGGTCTTATTTTAATTCTTATATCCTTCTTTAAATCCCTTTTTTAACAGCTAAGGACAAGGTTGCCCTTTTGATAGGAAACATGAATTACTGGGAGCACCCCAAGCTTAAAGCTCCTTTGGTGGATGTGTATGAATTGACCAATTTGTTAAGACAGCTGGATTTCAAAGTTGTTTCACTGTTGGATCTGACTGAATATGAGATGCGCAACGCTGTGGATGAATTTTTACTACTTTTAGACAAAGGAGTGTATGGTAAGATATTTATAATCTTCATTTTAATAATTATCCACTATTTTTTCATTGAACAAGTTAGATTAAGAGTTAAAAATCAGAGAAAGATGCAATACATACACTGTTGAATTGAAGAGTTTTATTGTAAAAGGTAATAGATTTGGTCTTTATGCTATAGTTCCATATGAATAACTAATTAGCTTAGTGTCTTTACTTTCATGTTTTTTGTTTTGTCAAAACAATATTGTTCTTATTAGAATTCTTACCAATTTTAGGTAATTTTGCTTTTAATTGATGTCATCAATACAAATGACAGATTGTATACTCACATATGTGGGTCCATAGTGCTAATGGTGGTGGTAGAGGGTCTTCTAATGAGAGCACTGTGCTAGGTATGCTGCTCTTTAACTCAACTGAGACAAAAATAAATATCTGTAACTAGCTATATTCTTGGAAATCATATTCCCAAGAAATAAAATTCTCTAAAGATCTAATTTATAGGATTATATTTCTAACCGCATTAAATTTTTTGTCATTTATAAAGATATATATATGTTGTCCTTTTGTCCTTGAGTAATGGGATAGGTAATTAAAATAATAAGCAGTATTAGATATGGAATTTTTAAAGTACAATGATTTGATTTAGTTCATTTTACATAAAAACCTTAATCTCCTGCAATATAATTTGGATGTAGACTTTTATACAAATGCTTACACTTTTTATAAGTTATTTTGGGGCAGGCAAAAGGTATTTTGTTGAAAGTGCCTTCATTTCAGCGATTGCAGAGCTGGGCATATGGCAATGAAATAATGGGCCACGCTTAGCTTTGGAGGCTAAACTTTTACTCCACATTGCTTCTGTTCCCAAGACAAGCCTTTTAGAGCCAGGCGTGTTAGTGATACAGTGGGAGTGAAACCCCAGCTTTCTGCATGGCTGTCTCTAAGTAAGATCAGTTGTAGAAATGTTACCATTCCCACTGGAAATCAGAGCCTTTACAAAAGGTTTCCAGACCTACCTCTGTCCTGATTCGTTCGCATTGTTAATTTAATACATTCATTATGTTTGTACTGAGTTCCTATTATATCCATAGCCCAGATAAGGAACATGCTAGGTATTGAGGGACATCCAGAAAATAAGGAACATGATCTACTCTCAAATTGTAAGTCCCTTAATGTAGTGAGAAAAAAAAATGCTGTATATGGAGTCCAAACACCTACCAGCTGTATTATGTTAAACAAATCACATAATCTTTTTAAATTTAATTTTTTTTTATCTTATAGGGAGATAAATCATTTAAAGATTATTATATGGATTAAAATGGGATTGTGTATATGAAGGTGCTTTGAAAACCATTAAAATGTTATAAGATCAATGTCTTTATTGTGATCACTTTTTGTCAGAGAAATTAAATAGACATAGAACTGTAAAATGTCCGTAAAGCTAGTATGTGTTTAGAGTCAGCGTGCCGCAAGAGGGTCGAGTGTGTGAGAAGAGCAGAAACCAGGTGACAACTAGCTGAGGATTCGGAACTTATGTCGACATAACTCTGAGGATTGGTTAGATATGGGTAGATAGACAGGAGAGAGGGTGCCTTGAGCAGGAAAATGAAGGTAAAAAAAAATAAGCATACCTTTCTCTAGAAGCAGTAAAGAGACTGATAGGGAATAGTCATATTTTGAATACTTGATAGAGAAGTATAAATTTTATTCTTTTAAAGTGTACAGTTTAGTGGTTTTTAGTATGTTCACAAAGTTTTACATCAATCACCTAATTCCAGAACATTTTCATCACCCCAAAAAGAAGCCCCATATCCATTAGCAGTCACTCTCCATTCCTCCTTATCTCAAGCCCCTGGCAACAACAAATCTACTTGCTGACTCTAGGGATTTGCCTATTTGAGGCATTTCATAGAAATGGAATCATTCCATATGTGGCCTTTTGTATCTGGCTTCTTCCACTTAGCATGTTTTTAGGGTCCATCCATGTTGTAGCATTATCTTTATGGCTGGGCAATCTTTCATTATATGGATAGACCATCAGAAGATGGACCTTCAGGGTGTTTCCCTTTTTGGATATTATGAATAATACTGTGGTGAACATTCATATACACATTCTTGTGGGCATGTTTTCAGTTCTCTTGGCTAGGTAACTTGGAGTGGAATTGCTAAGTCATAGGATAACTCTGAGTTTAACTTTCTGAGGAACTGCCTAACTCTTTCCAACTTGCCTGCACTATTGTATGTTCTTGCCAGAAATAAATGAGGTTTCCAGTTCCTCTACATCCTTGCCAACACTTGTTATTGTCAGTCTTTTTTTTTATTATTATTATAACTATCCTAAGAAGTGCAAAGTGGTACCTTTATTCTGTTTTGAATCTCCCTAATGGCTAATGATGTTGGGCATCGCTTCATGTGCTTATTTGCCGTTTGTATATTCTCTTTGGAGAAATGTTTATTCAAATCCTTTGCCCATTTTTTACTTGGGTATTTGTCCTTTTAATTGTTGAAAATAAGAGCCCTTTATGTATTCTGGATACAAGCTGTACTTGTAGATATATGATTTGCAGATACTTTCTCCTATTCTCTAGGTCAGTGGTCGGCAAACCGCGGCTCGAGAGCCACATGCGGCTCTTTGGCCCCTTGAGTGTGGCTCTTCCACAAAATACCACATGCAGGCGCGCATGTACAGTGCGATTGAAACTTCGTGGCCCATGCGCAGAAGTCGGTATTTTGTGGAAGAGCCACACTCAAGGAGCCAAAGAGCTGCATGTGGCTCGTGAGCCGTAGTTTGTCGAACCGCAGTTTGCCGACCACTGCTCTAGGTTGTCTTTTCACTTGCTTGATCTTCGTTGCTTAGTGAATGAAACCCACTTCCTTTGTCATAATTTTTAAAATGCTCCCTATCTGTGTGCTCTTACTTTCATGTATGATTATTTAATTCCTTGCCAAAATAGTATTCTTCCTGTTAGCTGTCATTCAGGTCCAAGCCCTGTTTGCTGCTGTTCTCCCTACCTGCACTATACCTCTTTCCCTCTGCCTTTCCAGATTGTACTCTTTCTCCCAAGTTCATGTGTTTACTACCCCTCACACTTACATTCCTCTCTGTGCTTCACTCATATCACACAGGGCCTCCCTGATCGCTTAATTTATGGTAATAATTATGTGCTAATTTCCTTTGTTGTTTAACTAACAACATGAGCTTGCCTGACTGAGTTGCAAGAACTTCGGGGACAAGAACTTTGTCTTCCTTTTCTTTTTCATTTCCTGCAGTACCTACGTGATTATATTCAGGGTACACATGAGATCTAAATTAAACCCATACAGATTTAATGTGTTGTCTGTTTTGCCATATGAAAGAACCATTTTCGTTATTTTAATAAGAGTTTAAGTAGAAGACCTGGATCCTGTGTGTGTGTGTGTGTGTGTGTGTGTGTGTATGTGTGTTCAAAGCCATTCTCTGCTGGAGTTGGGCCTGTAACCACTATATTGGTGTTTTTGTTGTTCCCTATCTAAAGGCCTTTTTACTGTTAACTTTAGAATACTATATAAAGAAGTCTCATTCCAGAATCTAAGAGAACAAAATTAGTGGATTCTAGAGATTGCATGCTTAAGGGATATGTCTTCACAAGTACTTCTCTCAAATATTTTTATAAGGCAGCCCATCCTGATATTTTTGTTGTGTCTTTTTTTACAGCTAAAACAAACTTCTTTTCAAGAAAATCTTTAGAGTTGTTGGGTGCAGTTTTCATAGTATCATTTCTCAGTAAAGAAATCATGGCTCATCTATTGATTTCTGAAACTAACCCAAATTTTAGATTTTACTTCAAGAGACTCTAGATGAAAAATTAATGATATTTATATATCATAACATAAAAGAAGTAATAATTCATGAAATCAGATTTTCCTGCTCTTCTTAGAAAAAGTTGTTCATATTATCAGAACCCTTACTAATTGTATTGAAATGTCTGAAATGAAATAAGCCAGTCAGAGAAAGATAAATATCACATGATCTCACTCATTTGTGGAATATAATGAACAACATAAACTGATGAACAAAAACAGATTGAGAGTCAGAGAAGCATCGATCAGACCATCAAACCTCAGAGGGAAGGTAGGGGAGGGTTGGGGTAAGGGGGAGAGATCAACCAAAGGACTTGTATGCATGCATATAAGCCTAACCAATGGACACAGACACCAGTAAAGAAAAAAGAAAAGAAAAATAAATAAATAAATAAAACATGCTTCAAGACAGCATGTTGATGTTGGTTTAAAATAAAGTACTAAGCCCTAGCCGGTTTGGCTCAGTGGATAGAGCGTCGGCCTGCGGACTGAAAGGTCCCAGGTTCGATTCCGGTCAAGGGCATGTACCTTGGTTGCAGGCATATCCCAGGTAGGGGGTGTGCAGGAGGCAGCTGATCGATGTTCTCTCTCACTGATGTTTCTAATTCTCTATCCCTCTCCCTTTCTCTCTGTAAAAAATCAATAAAAATATATTTAACAAATAAAATAAAATACAGTACTAAACTTCTATTGCTCGTCCCCAGCTCACACCACTCATCCACACGACTTTGCAACTGTCCCCATGCGAAGCACATTCTCACTTGGAGATTCCTCCACCTGATCCCTAGAATGTGCTGCCCCTAATATTTAGCTTGTCCACCATGTGCTGTAGGCCACTGCTCACATGGCCCCATATTAGGGAGGCCTTCACTGACTACCCAAAATAAAACAGATAAATAGGAGTGTGCCCCAACCCACACTCCTTTTCACCTGCCCTGCTTTATAGTTCTCCATGGAACATGTTTTTTCTCCATCTGTCATACGTGTATTTATTTGTTTGCGTTCTCAAGATTGCCACTTCATGAAAGCAGGGTTTTTTGTCTCTGTTAGTAATCCTGAAGCCCGGACAGTGGCTGGCACAGAGTCTTCCCTTTAAATACTATCTGCTAAATGAATGAAAGAATTGAATAAACCAATTGTATGAATGGGCAAAAAACACAGTACCAAAATGAAGGCTGTTGCCAAAATAATTTTCAATGTGCATTTAGTTAACATTAACTGTATTTATAACTGGGAAACTCTTAAGTTTGCATTAACTTGAAGAAAATAAAAGTTATACTTTTTAAAGAGCGCTACATACATGTTCAGAGTACGATTTAGAATGAACTTTTGCCCCTTTTGCCCCTCTTCAGGATTATTATACTATGCGGGACATGGTTATGAAAACTTTGGGAACAGCTTTATGGTTCCTATTGATGCTCCAAATCCATATAGGTCTGAAAACTGTCTGTGTGTGCAAAACATACTGAAATTGATGCAAGAAAAAGAAACGGGGCTCAATGTGTTCCTGTTGGACATGTGTAGGAAAAGGTAAGCTGTCTCATCTTTATTCAGCGAAGCTTGTTGGAGTTAAACATCAACCTTGGCAAATTACATCTGTGGCAAACCTGCACGTGCTAAGAACCCCTTAAGTTTGTGAAGTGTAGAGTATAGATCGAGGCTGATTAAGAAGGAAACTAGAGGAAACTATATTTTCTCTGTGTGTATTTAATTATTTTAACTTTTTCCTATTTGCTGTAGGGCAAAAGTAAAGAACTGAAGGGTCTGGATATTTACTCATTCTACGAATGGTGCAGCTGCTCAGACGCCTCTAAGGCCACTGCAGTTATTCCTCTGGAAACTCATAGAAACAGCACCCCTAGTGCTGGGCACTGCTCACTCTAGTCAGTCCTGGTCTTGCAGATCCAGAGAGTTTAGCTGAACCAGATCCCATCTGTCCGCCCATGTTACTAAGGAAGGGAACTAATGATGATGCCTCTCAGAGTCGCACGTTTTGGCTTGCTGAGCATTGCCAGCCAAAATCCAATGCCAGAGTTCAAATGTAACTCCAGTGTAAATACTAACAAGAGAAAAGATGTCTCAACAGTGTAGGTGCCCTGGGTTAGTTTTGGTAGATATGTAGGTGATTGGATAAAGGAATTTTGAATCCATAATTTTTAATTATGTATAGTAGAGTAGTGTTATATTTTTATTACATTGTTACTTGTGCTCTTTTTAAAAATGCTGTTTAACTTTTTACCTTTGTATTTGGCCTTCTCCCCTCCTACCTTTTAAATAGAAATGACTACGATGATACCATTCCAATCTTGGATGCATTGAAAGTCACTGCCAACATTGTGTTTGGATATGCCACGTAAGAAACTTTTTTGTTTATATTTAAGATTCCTTTATTCTTTGTTATTTTTTTATTGTAGAATAGAAGCCTAGAAATATCCATAGACATATAGGAATTAATTTTCCTCCTCAATATTTTTAACATTTTAAAAAATACTTTTATTAATTTTTAGAGAGAGAGGAAGAGAGAGGGACAGAGAGAAACATCGATGTGAGAGTGAAACATCTGTCTCCTGCCTCCTGCACACCCCTTATTGGGGTTCAAGCCTGCAACCTAGGCATGTGCCCTGACAAGAAATCAAATTGGCAACACTTTGGTGCACTGGACAACACCCAACCAACTGAGCCATACTGGCCAGGGCTCCTTGATATTTTTTAAAATATATTTTATTGATTTTTTACAGAGAGGAAGAGAAAGGGATAGAGAGTTAGAAACATCAATGAGAGAGAAACATTAATCAGCTGCCTCCTTCACACCCCTACTGGGGATGTGCCCGCAACCAAGATACATGCCCTTGACCAGAATCAAACCTGGGACCTTTCATTCCGCAGGCCGACACTCTATCCACTCAGCCAAACTGGTTAGGTCTCCTTGATATGTTTTATAGCAATTTTAAATAACTTACTTTAGCACTTCATATCTTGGCACCTTTCTTTTTACTAAGCACCAAAGCATTTAGTTCCTGTGTAGAGGTTAACTCTTTAGTTAGGACATCATGCAAGAGGCAGGGAAGCAATTGAGGCTCATCAGTATTTACCCCACATGGTAAGTGTTTGCTTTGAAAACATTTTTTATTTTTGCTGTTTTTAAGGTGTCAAGGAGCAGAAGCTTTTGAAATCCAGCATTCTGGATTGGCAAATGGAATCTTCATGAAATTTTTAAAAGACAGATTATTGGAAGACAAGAAAATTACTGTGTTACTGGATGAAGTTGCAGAAGGTAAAATAAAAAGAAAGCTACTCAGGGTTTTCTGTGTGGTAATTATTTTATTCCTATTGTGCAGGTTTGAAATTAATACTTATTTTATAAAATAATTTTTAATGTCATGCTCAGCAACACTCCTATTTAATTCCTTCCTTCTCTCTTGACTTAGCCACATGCCACCTGTGCAGCGCTACTTGAACTACAAGGCTGACCCCAGACATGATGAGAAATGAATAAAAATTGATCCTCACAGCTCTTTACCTTGTTTCTATGCCTAGTGCCTCATGCTGCCAAGTTTATTTGTTTGCAAAAGAATTATTCAACCACCATTCTCTCAGCATCAGACAGATGAAACTTTACAGAAATTTTGAGGCCCTAGTGGAAAAAAACTGGGTTCATTTTTTTTCTTGATGAACTTAGTGGTTTTAAATTTTTGCTTTAACACATTAAGCGCCAAGCCTGTTTGTCTTCCTTTCCGTTTCAGTCACCGGTGACTGACATGGCGCTTAACGTGTTAAGGACATGATCCTAGAGATCTAACACCAGGTCTTTCATTTCCTTCCACTCCCTTCCCTGTCAGCCCAGTACATGCTGTGCTTGGGTCAGGTACTAAATAGGAAGTGTTACACCAGTAGATTGACATGTATTTTTTGAAATATCATTTTATAAGCCGTATCAAAAAGAAGGCAATTCTTTTGCAAACTAGTTACTGGAGTTTCATGTTCCAAAGATGGCAGTTTGAATATAAAGTGTCTGAATGCTTCACTAACAGCTGTTAGTCACATTTGTTTATTGTCATGTTTTTCTCAGTGCAGACCTGTTAGCTGGGTCACTTGACTTAACCACTTTCCCATTCAACATAGACAGCTGGGGCTCAGACCTCCTTCAACCAAACAAGTTCTGCTTTTATCTGTTTTACATATTGAGCTTCTATTTAAGCTCTTATTTGAAGAAAAGTTGCCGCTGCTTAAAAAAAAAGCCTTTGAAAGTATGTCAGTTATTTTCAAACAGATCTATGAAGGTGCTTCAGAAACTTTAAAATGGTTTATTCTAATTTTGTATTTTAAATATAATTTAACTATTTTAAAAACTTAATAAAAAGCATCAGTTCACCCATATATGATATATACCAAGCATATATATGGCATAACATTTGTGTTAAGTTCAGAACCTAAAACTTGGACACACACTGCTTACCAACACCTCCACCTGAGTAGAAACGTGCGTGGGAGGATGCACAGTACCTGGGGTAATGGCCGGCGGGCAGTGGCGGTGCCTTAACCCTGCTGGTGGTTTTAACACATAATTTCCTTTGTTAAAAATAAATCTGTGGTAAAGACAGGATATCTTAACTTTCTCATAGATGTGTAGTCATGTTTACTAACTAAATCTATTTCTCAGCAGAGTATAGTTCAGTGAAGAAATATACTTTTCAGCTCTTTGTGAATTTCAAGGCTTAGAATATTACTAGTAAGGGTGCATTATTAGAATTATAGGAGATAAAAGCTAGAGAGGGGCCTTTAGAAGCGAGCCGGTTCAGTAATTTTATGTTTGCTCCCTGTCACACCCTGGCCATGCCTGACACACTTAGGTGCTTAGTAAATATTGGTTGAGCATAAATGCTATTGAGAACATAACCTAGTGTATGGGAGAGTTCTTGACCTAAGTATTTAAAAGGTAATGGAAGGATTATGTTCTAAAAAATAATATTTACTTCTTATCTTTTAGATATGGGTAAATGCCATCTCACCAAAGGCAAACAGGCTCTAGAGATTCGAAGTAGCTTGTCTGAAAAGAGAGCACTGACTGATCCAATACAAGGAACCGCGTACTCTGCAGAGTCTCTGGTGCGGAACCTCCAGTGGGCCAAGGCACACGGTACAGCAAGGGCTGCTTTTTGTGAGCTCTTTCTAGAATGTGTTTATATTAAATCATAAAGTTTTTCCTCCTAATTATACAGCTTTCCTCCCATTAAAAAGAAAAAAAAAGTATTGATTTTTAAAGAGAGAGGAAAGGGGAGAGAGAGAAACATCAAAACATTTATCAGCCCTAACCGGTTTGGCTCAGTGGATAGAGTGTCGGCCTGCGGACTGAAGGGTCCCAGGTTCGATTCCGGTCAAGGGCATGTACCTTGGTTGCGGGCATATCCCCAGTAGGGGGTGTGCAGGAGGCAGCTGATCGATGTTTCTCTCTCATCGATGTTTCTAGCTCTCTATCCCTCTCCCTTCCTCTCTGTAAAAAAACAATAAAATATATTTTTTAAAAAAACACATTTATCAGCCCTACCTGGTTTGGCTCTGACCTGGGTAGAGCATCAGCCTGTGGCCTGAAGGGTCCCGGGTTTGATTCCAGTCAAGGGCACATGCCCAGGTTGCAGGCTTGATCCCCAGTAGGGGGTGTGCAGGAGGCAGCCAATCAGTGATTCTCTCTCATCATTGATGTTTCTATCTTTCTTTCCCTCTCCCTCTCTGAAATCAACAAAAATATATTTAAAAAATTTTTTTTGATCGGCTGCCCCCTAAACACCCCCTACCAGGGATCAAGCCTGCAACCCAGGCATGTGCCCTGACCAGGAATCAAGCCAGCAACCTTTTGGCGAAACAAAACTAACTGAGCTGCACCAGGCAGGGCCCTCCCAATTTTGCAGTGAAAATAATTTAGCCAATTGGACAAATATAAAACTGAACAAATGTTTTGGTTGCAGATATTACATTGATTTATTTGGTGTTGGAAATAGTATAGTATTTAATTCACTATTTTCACCATTGGCAAAATTAGAATATAATCATCCTATCTAATAAAAGAGAAACATGGTAATTAGCCATACCTCCGCTACCCTTCCCATTGGCTAATCAGGGCGATATGCAAATTA